TCATTGGTACAGGAGAAAACTTCCTGAACAGAACACCAACAGCACAGGCTCTAAGAGCAACAATTAATAAATGGGATCTCATGAAACTGAAAAGCTTCTGTAAAGCAAAGGACACCATCATCAAAACAAAGCAACTGCCTACAGATTGGGAAAGAATCATCACCAACCCTTTATCTGACAGAGGACTCATATCCAGTATATATAAAGAACTAAACAAGCTGAAAAGCAGCAAACCAAGTAATCCACTTAAAAAATGGGGAACAGGGCTAAACAGAGAACTCTCTGTAGAGGAATATTGAATGGCAGAGAAACACTTAAAGAAATGCTCAACCTCATTAGCCATTAGGGAAATGCAAATCCAAACATCCCTGAGATTTCACCTTACATCCATCAGAATGGCCAAGATCAAAAACTCAAGTGACAACACATGCTGGAGAGGTTGTGGAGAAAGGGGAACCCTCCTCCACTGTTGGTGGGAATGTAAACTTGTACAACCACTCTGGAAAGCAATCTGGCGCTTTCTCAAACAACTAGGAATAGCGCTTCCTCAAGATCCAGCCATACCACTCCTAGGTATATACCCAAAATTTACTCAAGTACACAAAAAGGACATTTGCTCAAACATGTTTGTAGCAGCTTTATTTGTAATAGCCAGAAGCTGGAAACAGCCCAGATGCCCCTCAACTAAAGAATGGATGCAGAAACTGTGGTACATCTATACAATGGAGTATTACTCAGCAATGAAAAATAGGGAAATCATTAATTTTGCAGGTAAATGGTGGGACCTGGAAAGGATCATCCTGAGTGAGTTGTCCCAGAAGCAAAAAGACACGCATGGTTTATACTCATTCATATAAACATACAACATAGAATAAACCCACTAAAATCTGTACATCTAAACAAACTAAGCCAAAGAGAGGACCCTAACTAAAATATTCAATCCCCATCCTGAAAGGCAAAGAGGATGGACATCAGAAGAAAAAGAAAACAGGAAACAACCTAGGAACCTGCTACAGAGGGCCTCTGAAAGCCTCTGCAGTATAGACTGTCAAAGCAGATGCTGAGCCTGATGGCCAACTGGCAGAGTGAATGGAATTTTATTTAAGAAGTGGGAAATAGTAAGAGCTGGAGAGGACAGGAACTCCAGAAGGAGAGCAACAGAACAAGAAAATTTGAACACAGGGAAATTCCCAGAGACTCATACTCCAACCAAGGACTATTCATTGAGATAACCTAGAACCCTGACAACGCAGCCACTTCTGATGAGAACTGATAGATGAAGATCAGAAAGAAGGAGAGGAGGACTTCCCCTATCAGTGGACTTGGGGAGGGGCATGCGTGCAGAAAGGGGGGAGGGGGGACCAGGAGGGGAGGAGGGAAGGGCTTATGGGGAAATACAAAATGAATAAAGTGTAATTAATAAAAGTTAAATAAAAAAATTTTTAAAAAAAGGCAAATGATGAAGCCTACCACTAGGCGGCAGTATTGAGTATTGATATAGAGTTCAAGAATAGCTTCGCCATAATTGTTCTTTCTGATGAGATTTGTTTTTAATCGGATAAAAGAATGATGAAAGACATATAATATTTTGTGCAGTAATAAAGTTCTGGAAAGAATATTAAAGAGAAATACATGTTCAGAGTAAGACGACTAAAAATACAGTGGTGTTTCTGAGAATGTAAGAGAAATAGTAGCTGGCAAAGAAAACCAGGTTGGGCCCACACTTACTTGGCTTTCTCCAAGAGCTGTACTGCATTGGCCCTGTGTTCTGTGAGCAGGGTGTTAAGTGATAGAAAATCCTAGAAGTTTCTTTTCCCTTCATACACACTATCTTTTTTAATATTCTAGCATTCCCATGATGTAAACAGTGCTGCTATTTTTAATAGATGGTGAAATTTTGTGCAAGACTAGAATTATAGAACCACAATGACTAAATATAATCAAGACACTCACTGCTCGTGGTTATCTTTTTTATTGTTAGAAAATGTTATGCTTTAATTAAATCCATCCCTACTCCCTCCAAATTTCTCCCGTATCCCTGCTCCCGCTTTCCCCTCTCAACTTCATGTGTTCTTTTAAAACCCACTGAGTGCATTAGGCATTGCCAGGATGTAGTTGGGTGCAGGACCATTCATTGAAGTATATAAATGATGGCTGCTGGGAAGAGGAGATGTTGCTGCTCTTTTTAACAGCTGGAAAAAAATTAGTTTTGAACTACAATGACAAACTGACCTGTGAAAATAGGCCCACTGGTGCAAAAGTGGCGTGAACGCTATGAAAGTAACCAATGACTTTCTGGGTTGGACTGTTCAGCCTCAATGCACTCCCTTCCCCCTAAGGCTCAAGTATCATCAGAAAAGAGAGTGTGGCAAGATTTTAACAACCAGAGGTAGTGGATGACTGCCAGGAAACAGTGTGTCTTAGTTAGGATTTTTCAGTAATAAAAGACCATGATTAAAAGCCATCTGGAAAGGAAAGGGTTCATTTCATCCCACAGCTTGTAGTCATCTTCCAGGAAAGTCTGGGCAGGACCTCAAGGCAGGAACTGATGCAGAAGCCATGCGAGAACACTGTTCACTGGCTGACTTAGTTTTCTTTCTTATACCTACCAGAACTACCTGTCCAGGGTTGGCACCACATGCAATGGCCTAGGCCCTCCCACATCAATAATCAATTAAGAAAATTCCCCTTAGTTTGCCCATAGGCCAATCTGGTGGGGCCATTTTCTCAGTCAAGGTTTCCTCTTCCCAAATGACCAGCTTGTATGGTGTTAACAGCAGTGTTTTCTGGATGTAGCAGATGATGGCACACACTCCCTTATAGTGGTTGTGATCACATGAAGAAGACCTACACACAATCAAGCCAGACAAAAGTCCTGCATGAATGTCAGAAGGACTCATAAAGTCCCACCCCTAGCTGAAGAAGAATCAGTTTTCTTTAGGGATATGGCCCCTGAGAGCTATTTATGCTCCAGTAGATGGACTTACACCTATTCATACATAGGTAACCTGTTCCTCTGGAAGAACAGTATCTGCTCTTAACCACCGAACCACCTCTCCAGCCTTGTCTTTAATTTTTTTCATTTGTTTTTTGAGACAGGCTCTCACTATGTAGCTCTAGCTGGTTTGGAACCTGATAAGTGGACCAGGCTGGTCTTGAACTCACAGAAATCCTCCTGCTTTTACCTCAGCATCTCAAGTGCTGTGAATAAAGCCACTGTAATGACTTGTCCTCATTGTCAACTTGACTGTACCTGGAATCAACTAAAACCCAAGCAGCTGAGCACACTGAAGGACTTTTCTTGGTTGAATCATTTGAAGTAAAAAAAAAAAAAACTGTCCTAAATCTAAATCCTAAATTTGATCTGTCCTAAATATGAGCTGTACCTTCTTGTAGAAGCCTATATAAAAGGACACAGGAGAAAGGCGCTTTTGTTCTTTGCCTGCTTGCCCTCACTCTCACTGAAAAGTTTATCTGAGGCATTCCTTTACTGGTAGAATCTACTTCTTTGGTATTCCAATGAATACTGAAGACCAGCTGAGACATCCAGCCATGTGGACTTTTTGTGGGGAAACAGCCATTGTTAGAAAAAGCATGTAAATCGCTGTAACGAATCATAAACCATTATAATAAAACTCCTCTTAATAAATATTCATCTTATCAATGCTGTTCCTCTATAATAGTGGTTCTCAACCTTCCTAATGCTGTGACCCTTTATGTTTCTCATGTTGTGGTGACCCCCAACCATCAATGAAAAGTATTTTCATTGCTACTTCATAATTGTAATTTTGCTACTGGTATGAATAGTAATGTAAATATCTGATATGCAGGATATCTGACATGCAACCCTTGTGAAAGGATCGTTTGATCTCCAAAGGAGTCTCAACCTACAGGTTAAGAACCACTATGCTAAAGACTCCTGAATATAACCACTATACTTGGCCACATCTTTATTATTATTATTATTATTATTATTATTATTATTATTATTTATTAACTAAACTGATAAGCTCACTGCTCCACATATAGCTGGTTTACTGAAGCACTTCAATCAGTTCAGGTTTGAGTAGTGTAAAGAGAATAAATCTTCTACTCCTGTCACTTCCCTACCCAGTGTGACTGTATGTCTTAGTGGTCAACATGAGTTTGGGAATGGAGAGAACACTGGAAGTCTCAGAATAGGACTGAAGTGCAAGTTCCTGTTTTTGGGGGGGAACTCAGTTGTGTCATGTGAATATTTTTGTTTTGGTCCCAAGTGTGATATGTAGGAATGCTCCCCCCAACCCTCTGTGGAGGACAGCCCCTGAGGAAAACAACCTCTTTGAAAAAAAGCACATGATATTTGTCAACTGGAAACTACCTCATGCAAGGGGTATGGTTTTTGTGAACTGAAAAACATCCTCATGTGGACTCTTAGAAGGGATAAACAGAAGCCCACAGACAATGAAAGAATACTTTTTGCATTGCTACTTTTTGCAACAGATCGCATTCTTTGCTCGTCTTCCAAGAAAGAAATACTCCAGAGAACTTCTCCAGCTTCTTTGGTGGAGTTTTGCTGCTTCAGCAGACTTGTGCTGTTTGAGCGGAGTCTAGCCGCCTCTTCTGAATCATTCTGCTGATGCTGACTTGTGTTGCTGCTGCTGCTGCTTTGCTGTTTGACTAGACTGCTGGTATCCTGACTGAGTCTGGTAATCCTCAAAGAACCCATAGATCCTTATAAGCAGGAAGTAGATAAAAGAAGTGTAAAGTCCCTTTTCCTACTAAATTCCTACATAAGGTCAAGAGGTTGGAAGGGAGGTAGATGCATTTAAGAACCTTAAATAAAGTAGGTGTTTGAAAAATCTAAGCCTACAGAGAACTCTGTGATTTGGATGTTTAATAACTAGTCCCACATAGCTGGTTTTCTATAAGAATGTATTTACCTTGGATGGGCCCCATATCTGCAGTGTTCCACAGCAACAATCAAAACCATTTCAAGGCCACAAAAATTGCCTTAAAGATTTTCAATCAACATGTTTTTATTAATGAAATGGAATGGAAAGAGATACAATCAAAAATTCCAAAATGAATAATTTGTTTCTTCTTTGTGGCTATATGTTAAGTTTTACAGAGCTGTTACTGACAATGTTTCTCTCTAAAGGTCATGCTCAAAAGATCTTGGCGATCACTGCCAGAAGCACCTCAGATAAAATGGGTTGCTGTGTCATTTATAATATGGTCCCTGAGTAGTTACCATGTCACTTATGGTGGCTTATGTCCCATCCTCCTACCTGAAGTGGGATTAACATCTGAGTGACTTTTGCTTTGCTGCAGTGATTTCTGTAATGCCTGTTACATGCCACGTACTTAGAAAATCTGTTTAGTATTTATTATGGATTTTTCTTTTCTTTGCTTCTAAGTAAATATCTAAAACATACTTTTATAACTGTAAAATGATATTTGTGATTCTATTCTGTCTACCTAACTGCTAGCCATAGGTGTAGATTAATATTAACACAAGCATTGAGTTTTAGGTACCTTTTTTTTCTGTGTGCACATTGTGGCCCACCCCAAATGGTTGCCCTGTGGCTACTGTGCAGATTTGAACTTTTGTTTCTCAAAGAGCTCCCTCAACTGCTGATCAGTAGTGGCTTCCTTCTGCTGCATCAGCTCGGCTGTCCCTTTGGTCACTCCCCAGGCATCTGGCTTGGACATTGAGGGGTTGTATGGCCTGCCAGAAGCTATCCGAAGATTCTGCCAGTATTCCTTTCTGGCCCTGTGGAAACAAACCACACATCAAGATCCACAATACATGCAAAGCATGCACCAAGGTCCCCACTAGAACCTCAGGGCCTTTCTTAGTCTCTGAAAACATGGTTATGAACACGGTTGTTAATCCAAATTAAGGCACCTTCACCACTTAACCCTTTAAGTCTTCTTTGAACCCAAGAAGAGCCATTAAAAGCCTAAAATGTAGAATCAGGATATTTTCTATCCAGCATATACAACCTTTCCATCCTGGTGTTCTGGTCATATTTTAAACTCTCTTATTAGCTGGATGGTAGTAGTGTACACTTTTAATGCTAGGAGTCGGGAGGCACAGGCAGGCAGATCTCTGTGAGTCTGAGGCCAGCGTTGTCTAGAGAGTTAGTCCTAGGACATCCAGGGCCTACACAGAGTTCTTTTATTAGAATATATTAATTGTGCAAAATAATGTGTTTCAGTATGTCACTCTTTGATCACATACACCCCTCTGTTCTTCTATCACTCTCTCCCTGCACCTACATTTAAACTTGCCCGCAGACAAGCTGGTGCCTATGACTGGATTCTGCCTCCATCCTTCTTCATTCCATTTCCATCATCTCCCTGTGCTTTAGGCCTCATCAGTCCTGATAGCCTGTCTAGAAGGCATCTACATTGGCTATTACATCTGCTAAACTCTTGAAAATCTAACCTTGCCTTGGGTTCCCCATCATCTTGGCAATGAGGTCATATACCAGCAAGCACACTGATGGAGCTATACTATTCGTCCTAGAGTCTGCTTTTCAGGAAATTCTGTTTCCACTTCAGACTTCCTCAATACCCATCCCTCTTTCCACTTCTTAGTGTCTCCTGTTGGGCTCCTCTTTTGTCTGGCAATGTAAGGCATTCTTCAGAGTTCAGTTCTGGCTAGAGCTTGCATAGGCATCCTTACTCAACCCTGGACCTTTAGCTCAGAGCCTGTACTACTGTGCATCACTCTGTATTTGAATTCACTGTGTTATTTGAACTTCCTTGCTTATTTCTCTGTCTTTTAGGTTAACTGTTTGGGAACTGGGGCTCCCATCCTATTTTTTTACCTTGTAGGATCCTATTCAGCCTTTGAGACCCAGTTTTCAACTGCCCTTTTTCTAACATGTTGTCCTAATTAGTAGAGACAGTTGTTTCCTTCACTTTTTGAAAGTGTCACAGTGTAGTATAATGACTTTATACTTCTTTCATTGCTTTTTGTTGTTGTTAGTCTGTGTCCTATGTAGACCATATTGGACTCAAACTCACTGTGTGGCTGAGGCTGGCCTTGAACTCCCTATTTTCTCCTTTCCACCTTCTAAGTTCTGGGATTACAAACTTATTTTCTTATCCATTCCTCCCTGTGAGACTCTTGAAGTCAGAAATCAAAGGTTCCTATTTCTACCATGTTGTCGATGCCTAGCACAGTGCCGGTTGTGGACTTATTTCCTTGTTCGGCTTCCCCATTGGAATATGAGTTCTGTGGAAAGACCTTGCCCATCATACCACCTGATTCCCAGCTCTGAAAATCATGACACAAAATACTTAGCATTAATATAAAGTATTAATACAAAGCTATATTCAATTTTTTTATTTTTTAATGCTGTTGGCGCTTATTCAAGACTTTGATAACATGAAATCATTCTTCCATTGAATTGCCCCAGACCTAAGTTATATTCAACTCTTTTTTGGTTTTTGTTTTGTTTTGATTTTGTGTGACAATTTCTCTGTATAGCTGTGGCCGTCATGGAACTCACTCTGTAGAATCTTTGGATGTTTCCTAAGGTCACACACTTCAGCTTCTGAGGTAGAACTACAACTAGCCCTCTGTAGACCTCCACACTAGAGGGTGGCCCTTTCATCTACTCTAAGGCATGAATCACTGGTCTCAAACTCAGAGACCCACCTGCCTCTGCTTCCCTAGTGTTGGGATTCAACACAAGCAACACTACACATCAGCTTCAACTCTTCATATCTATCTATCTATCTATCTATCTATCTATCTATCTATCTATCATATATATTATATATATATAATATAAATGCAGGTTTATTGGGAGCAGCACAGGAGGGGGAGGGAGAAAGGAAAGAAGCTCACAGGGAGAAAGAGGAAAGGAAAGGAGGAAAGACACAGAAAGAAAGAAGAGAACAGAGAAGAGGGGGGAAGAGAGGAAGGCAGGGGAAGGAGGAAGGAAGAGAGAAGAAAGGCCCACCTTCAACTCTACAAAACTCAAGTGATACAGCATTAGTGGACACCATCTGCAGTGTGCTTGAGTGCAGCACAGAGTAAAATTTACATGCCATTTCAAGCACAGTTTATCTTAAACTGTCTCCACAAGTCACCTGGCAATATGCTTTACAAGCAGCTCAGGGAGACACTCTGTGGTGGGGGTGTCAGCCCGCCCTCTTCACACAGGAGATGGGAGAGAAGGCTCCTTTAGTGGCCTCACTTGGACATAGAAGAAGCAGATGGAAAGGTACTGACCTGGCTCTGATCCAGGGTTTGGTGTGCATGTCCAAACCACTTCCCCAGCTGCCATGTTTTTCTGAAGCTGGTGGCAAAAATCCCCTTTCTGGGGCCAGCTCCTCTGCAATCGCCCTGATGTGGTAAGGCTCAAATCCGCAGCAGCCGCCAATGAACCTGACCCCCAGGTTGTAGGCCTCCCTGGCGTATTTTTGAATATCCCATCTGGTCGCAACTCGGGGTTCCAACCCTGAAATAAGTGATGTTAGGTTCTTTTTGTAAAAATAAAAATAAAAAAAATAAGTGGATGGAGAGACAGCTGAGTGAGGAAGAGCAATTGCTGCTCAGGTACGAGGACCTGGGTTGGGACCATGTAGGGTGGTTCATAAAGAACAGCCTATAGCTTCAGCTACACACACACACACACACACACACACACACACACACACAAGCACACACACATGCATAACACACTCACACATGCACAATTAAAATTAAATCTTTAATCTTTAAAAAAGGTGGAAAGTGGGAGAGCAGAATACCTGATGCCCTCCTCTGGCCTCTACATGTATGTACATAAATACATGTAGATACATGCACGAGTGTGCGCGCATGCACGTACCCACAAACAGGCACACACACAAGATTAACAGTAAAAATGTAAGAGGAGTAGGACTTTGGAAGTAATTCATTGAATCCTACTTTTGTGATAAAAATTAGAAATGGGGATGAAAGGGTGTTTCCTAAGGTCACAGTTCAGCAACAGAGCTAAACCAGGGCTAGTGCTCTACAGAGATAGCCAGACAATGGCCCTCTCATCAAATCTAAGGCACTCTGATTTCACACTTAAATTCATGGGTATTGTTGTTTCCCTTATCAGACCCATTTGTCCTTCCAATATGAAGGACAAATTTGTCCTTCCATTATGTCCTGCCCAATATGAAGGGAATTTTGGCTGCAGGGACAGAAACTAAGGGACAAGAGATGACATGTGCAGCTATTTCTCTCCCATGACAAAAGCTCTCTGAAATTCATTTGGAATTTCTCAAGCAAAGATATTGAGACAATTTAAAAGGCCTGTCTTACCAAAGGGGAATTCTGGGAGATCAATAAATCCCTGTTTGCCACAGTCAGGGGTGTGGTAGGCCAAGGGCTGGCACATCAGGTAAGCTTTCAACCCAGCAGCCTCCAAACCCTCCTTCATGAGCTTCACAGCTTGTAAGCTGGTGGTGGGGTCGAAGTGGCAGTTCACCCCGACAATGGAGGCACCTGGAAGCAAGGGGAACATGTTAGCAGATCCTGGCAGCTTCCATGCTCCTGTCTTCATGGGAAGCTTGTACCCAGCATTTGGTCCTCACACAAACCTCTGTCACCTGTGAGGAAGAACGATTGTGAGCAGCCAGGAAGTGTTTTCTGAGAAAAGTAATTGGAGGAGTCAGGTATAATTGAAGTGTCACTTAAACACTTTGGTTTTTCCATCTCTCTCTCTCTTTTTTTTAAGCATTATTAGAGGCTTTGCTTTCCTTTAAATTTTGACAGTCAATTTTTTAGTGTTTGTCATTACGTGGCAAGCACAGTAATTTTTCAACGCTCCCAGCCACTGGATTGCACCCATGGTTACTATTATGCTGCTCCTCTGAGACCAGAATAAATGTCCCCTATGAGCACGTGTTTAATAAGTTCACAAAGGCTTCTTAGGCACAGTGGCAGAAAGTCATTGAGGGAAAAAGGTTGATTTGTATGTGTGTATGTTTTGTTTTTTAATCTGTTTTGAAGAAAAAATTGTATCTAGGATTAGTGGTTTAAAAAAAATCTTAAAAACGCCTATTAAAATACATTAAATATTTTAAAAAAAACTCCTTTAACTTGAGGTGACTAATCTCTTTAACACCTATCATACAGGCAAAGTGTTCATTTGCATGTCAGCCAGACAGGAAGCTTCACAAAGCTATCCCCTTAACCTGTACTTCGTAAATTTGTTGTAGTGATATTTGGGCGACTAAGACAAAATATGTTTTAGATGTCTCGTTTTTAAAAGACTTTTACAGTCATTGCTGTGTCTATACGCAAGATGATCAACCATGGTTAGGTACAGTTCTAGAAATTCTGTAAACAGTTCCACCCTCTCAAAATGAGAGGGATTCCCAAATGGAACTTCTCTTTCTTCTTTTCGAACTTAAGAACTTTCAGTAAAGGGTTGGGGGAGATGGCTCAGTGAGTACAAGCACTTGCTGTGGAAGAAGGAGGAGGAGGAGGAGGAGGAGGAGGAGGAGGAGGAGGAGGAGGAGAGGAAGAGGAAGAAGAAGGAGGAGGAGGAAGATTAAGAAAAGATCTGAGTTCAAATCCCCGGTGCCACCAAACTGCTGGCATCACCACACAAGCCTGTGAGTACAGTACTGGGTACTGGGTATGCTGGCTGGCCATCCTGCCTAACCTAACTGATAGGCTTCAGAATCTGTGAGCAAGATCCTATCTCTGTTTATCTAAGATCTTCACTTGGAGTTTTTGTTGGACAAAGTCTCACCCTGTAGCCCAGGCTGGTCTAAAACTCTTAAGCAATCCTCCCGCTTCAGCAAGCCCTACCCCCCAGGATTGGGGTACAAGTATACACACCACACCCATTCTCATCTGGATCTTGACATTTTCACTTTAGTTTCAAATGTAGTGCAACTATAGCTTCTCTTTCTTTGCTTAATTTTATTACACTGAGCAATTAATTCTATATTGGCTATTTATTAGATACTTACCTGATGTAAAGTTCCTCGTAAGAGGAAATAGTTTCTGACATCTCAGACTTTATATTTTAGCTCAGAACTTCCCAAGATTTGGCCCATGAACATAAAGTTTTAAGATGAATTAAGCTAGATAATGGGTATTCATCACATTTCCCTCTTGGATATCACAAGATAAGACTGTGTCAAAGATTCTGCTAAGTCTACAGTGGAGATACAAGCACAAGTAGGTTTAGCATGGCATCATCTAAATACATCTCACCTATAAACATTTTACAGGTGGAAAAATGCCAACTGATGATATTCCAAATAAATGGGTAACTATAAAAAAAGATGTGCTTTAAGGGCAGGAATGCCCATATCGGATGCAGGGAGGTAGAATTTGAGCTAAACGTTAGAAGGTAGACTGAGGTTGTTAAGGATCTGTTATGTGCTAGGCACTGTTCTAGCCACACAGTGTTCAGGGCTGAGCCAAATAGACCTCACCTTTACCTTCGTGGGTGTTAATCTAGTGAGGGTGACTTTAAACAGATAAAGAGATAAGTGAGGCTGCCAATGAAGTATATAATTGGTACACAAAAAAGGCCAGCAGAATGATGGGAAAGGGCTCCCTTCAGGCAGAGCAGGCTTGCTAATTACTAATGCAAATGATGGAGCCCCCTCTGATCTTGAAGACAGATAACTTACCCTCTCCTCATTTTTATAGTTCCCATAAAAATCAGGATTATAAAACTTTCTTCCTGAATATAAATATTTCTTACTATTACTAACAAGTGTGAAAAAGATTTTTATGAAAAATTAGGAGGTGGATAAGAAGCATAAATTAAACAAATCACCAATGTGTCTCTAGTTCACAGAGTGTGCACTCTTGTCCTCAGACACTGAGTTATAACTTGGATTTAAAATGCGACAGTTTAGAAAACAGTCTGTGAGTTTCCCCTAATTGAAATAAAACCCAATGTAAGGAACAGAAGTTGCATAAAAAGATATAGTAGGTGGTCAGTATTTCATATCAAAGTTTCCTTGGATTTATTATACATGAAGCAAAGCAAGTTAGCCACTATAAGAAAGGAAAAACTGTCAAAGAAACAACTAACTTTGTATTGTTTAAAGATCCTCAACGTGAGACATATTTAAATAAAACACAACTTCTCCTAACATTTCTTTTGAGTTGCCCAAACATTCTTCTTGTTTCTAAGCATTAACCCTGCAGCGTATGTCGAGCTACCCCTTTCAAAAGGCTGCCTTGCATACGTGGCTTGGAGATTCAAGAATGAAATTTTACTGTTCCTTAGAAAACATAAATTCATGGGTTGGGGAGACGGCTCAGTGGATCCTAAGTTCGGATCCCCAGCACACACCTGTAGCCCTAGTACTGTGTCAAGACAGACAAGTGGATTCTAGGAGCTCCATGGCCAAGACAATCCAGCTAATCAGCCCTAGGTTCAGTGAAAGACCCTGTCGTCAGAAATAAGGGGAACCTGGCATGGTGGCTCATGCATGTAATCCCAAAACTCAGGGAGTCAGAGGCAGGTGGATGCTGTTGAGTTCAAGGCCAGCCTGGTCTACATAGAGAGTCCAGGACAGCCAAGGCTCCACAGAGAAACCCTGTCTTGAAAAGAAAGGAAGGAAGGAAGGAAGGAGGGAGGGAAGGAAGGAAGGAAGGAAGGAAGGAAGGAAGGAAGGAAAGAAAGAAGGAAAGAAGGAAGGAAACAAGGAAAAGGAATAGCAATAGAGGAAGCCATCCAACATTTACCTCAGACCTTCATGTGTGCACACACATACCACACATACCCCTCCCATTCACACACATGAACATGTAAATCTCTTCACATGTTTACAAAGTAAATTTGTGGGTTTTCTATGTATATTTTCTTGGCATATACCAGAGTATGTATTGATTATTGAAACAGTGTTCATTTACTCTATGTTATTTTAAAAGTTTCACTAGTGGGGCTGTGGTGGTGCATGCCTTTGATCCCAGTAGATTAAAGGGAGGTGGATCTCTGTGAGTTCAAGGCCAGCTTGGTCAACAGGACAAGTTCCAGGACAGCCAGAGCTGCACAGAGAAACTCTGTCTTAAAAAACAAAAACAAAAAAACAAACAAACAAAAACTTCACTAATGGCAAACTGATGGAAATCTATCATTACCTGCTTTCACCAGACGCACCGCACACTCTCCAGGAGACACGCCATGCAGATCTCCTTCGGGACCAATGCACATGGTAGCTGCTACAGGTTTACCAGACGCTTTTAAGGCTTCCACTGCCCACACAGCTTCTTCAACATGTTCAAAATACTAAATCAGTGAAGAGCAGAACACTTTTAATTACGTTTTCCACAAAATGATAAGAACACCAATCTACTATGACTTGAACTGTCTAGTAAGAACTCAGTTTCTGAGAATTTTTGACCCTGAATAGAATGGTGTGACAGTTTCTTAGTGTGAACAGAAGACAAAAAATTTGAAAACGTGTCAAAGTTAGCAGAAGTCTTAGATGAAAAAGTGCGAGCATTCCCAGCAAAGGGCCATTAGGGCTCACGGCTGGGTCAGTTTCTGCTGAGAGTGACCTGATGCTTGAGAGTTTGCCCAGAGATGAATAACCAATAGCAGGCTTGAGACAGTGTGGAGAAACCTGATTGGTCACCCAGAGCTATATACCCTTCTCTTTCTTCCCGGATGAATCTGCTTGTCCTTGAATTGCATTCACCTAATTCCTAGTGTCTGTGTGATGCTGTGCCTCTCAGCCTCTCTCACCCTTGGCCTGGCCCCTGTCCTCACCAGGGGCTAAACCCTTGGGAGGAGGACCAACATCTGGCTCCCAGTGTGGCCTTGGCCCCCTCAGTATTGGCAAAATGCCCCATTTGTGTGTTTCTTAGCTGCTCATGGGTGAGCATGCAGCCCACTACTCCTCTCTCTTCCCCTCCAATAGTTGCCTGTCCACACCTATGTCCTATGTGACAGAGCAACCCTTCGGGAGTACTCACCAGAAAGGTGGGTAGCCAATGACTGGTAAGACCCCAAGAGTTGGGGCAACCTAAGACAGGCACTGTCGTCTGAGGTGAGCCCCCAAGGCTTGAGGTCAACAATGCTGGGGCAAAGGATCCCATTCCCCAAGGTCACCATAAATAAAACAAAAAGGAGGGTATGTGGGCATCCCTGCAAAGGGCCATTAGGGCTCCCGCCTGGGGCAGCATCTGCTGACATGGTTACTGAAGTAGTCAGTGAGAGTACATGACCTGACTTTGGAGAGTCTGCCCAGAGATGAACAGGCTTGGAGAAGGTGCGAAGGAACCTGATTGGTCACCCAAAGCTATATAATGTGTTCTCTCTTCCAGGAATGAAGGAGTCTACATCCATTCTCCCTTGATTGCATTCACTGGATTACTGGTGTCTGTGTGATGACTGCGCCTCTCACACCCTCAGCCTGGACCCTCTGCCCTCACCCACAGGCTGGACCCTTGGGAAGAGGACCAATCAAAAAGGATCTCAAAACTAACCTAAATATAATTGTTCCTTGAGATTTGAACCTCACCCCATGTCGAGATCATCCTTGCTCACCTCTGCAATAAGGAAGTCCACATTCTTCTTCATGAAGATCTCTAGCTGTTGGTGAAATATCTTTTTAACATCCATTTCACTCTTGCAACTGAGGTATGAAGGTGTCTGGCTCACACCTCCTGCAACCAAAGCATCTCCTTCATCAGCCACTTGCCGTGCGATGTCACAAGCTGCTTCATTGACCTTCTGCCCCTAAAGTGGGTAAGTGGAGGGCACATCTAAATTCACATGTGAAATTGAAAAGTGAAATTATGAGTTACATGCCAGACCCTCAATTTTATTTTTAAAATCATTGTTTTTATCCTAGAAACAATAGTTAAGTAGATCAATGGTTTATCAAGTTTATCAGTTTGGGGGCTGGAGAGATGGCTCAGTGGTTAAGAGTGCTCTCTGCTCTTCCACAGGACCCGGGTTCAATTCCTAGCACCCACATGGCAACTCACAACTGTCTGTAACAGCAATTCCAAGGGATCTGACACCTTCACACTAATACACATAAAATAAAAATTAAATAAATTAGTTTTAAAAATACTTAAAAAAGTTTAGCAGTTTGTAAAACTGCACTAATATTATAAAAACAACAAGTGCCTTGGTAATAGCTAGGCTATAGCATGTCATCAAAAATCTGTGAGAGGATAACAGTCTATAGAGGAAAAGGACTAATCTGGAATTTTCTAATACCTAACCTGAACTTAGATAAATACTTAGCAAATAACTGTGGTGGTGACAATGGACACTAACTTTTATGACTAATGAGACTAAAATTCAATTAGAATGATGACCAAATTCATGACTGCTATGTATTTCTCCTATGATAAATGCATGCCTAGTAAGGCACACTCTAATCATTTAGACATTTAAGATTGAGTTGGCCTTTTAGGTTTTTTGTTTGTTTTTTGTTTTTGTTTTGTTTTGTTTTGTTTTGTTTTGTTTTGTTTTTGTACTTTGTCTTTTAAATAGGGTTTCAATTAGCCCAGGCTGAACTCTGGATTCAACTGCCTTCATCTCCCAAGTGCTAGGATCACAGACTTGTACCATATGGGGCAGCTTGTTTCTGTGCTGAGAAACAACATGATGATGTTGCCTTCAACTTTTGGGTTCATGGATCCTCTTACTGCAGCCTCTCAAGTATCTAGGAGGACTACTGGGGCTCATGAGCCTGCCTGGTTTGGGGTGTAACTTGTTGGCAGGGTTTTTGCCTAACATGTACTGGGTTCTACCCTTCATACTGCAGACAGCAACCACAAGATCCTACCTTGTCTTTTAAAGCAAACAAAGCAAAACAAGCCCACTACCATCCAAAATCCCCAAATACAAAAATCAAACCCAGCACCACAGGTCATTTAGAACCCCTAATTCATTTTAGATATGACAAAAATCTCAGCCTTAATGGGCAAGTGATTTGGCAATGACAGAAGTGACAGCAGCTGAATTACTTGGCTTGTTGCCCCCTGTACTCTGCATGTCCTTGATCTCAGCACTTGGGGAGAGGCAGAGGCAGGAAAAGCTCAGAGAGTTCCATGTCAGCCAGGCTGCATAGTAAGAGCCTGTCTCAAAACAACAGTAGGGAGATGAATGGGCTTGTAAAGACCCCACTTTGCTTAAGAGCAGGCAGGACTTATTGTTGAGTCTTTAATCTGCTTCACCAATGCCTTCCTATGAATCCTGAAGCACGCAGATCAAGCCTGAGAGTGTAAGCCACACTCCCTATGGCTTTCCTCTGTGGGAACTTGGATAGTGGAGTGTCTGTAATACCAGTCACAGGTGGTGGCCTTAGACGGTGGTACTCACAGATATCTTCGCTGCCACGTAGTTTCCTCTATTCTCCAGTTTGTCTTCACTGGCATAGAAAGTGAAGGTCTGCATGACGTTTGAGCCAGCTCTCAGGAACTCCCGGTGAAGCTGGCGAACTGGGAGAGTAAAAAAGCAAAGCTATGATTTCACCCATTCACCAGCCTGCAATGTTCTCAAGAGGCTCTCAGGTAACCAAACATCAAAATAACTGTTTCAGCTGCTTGACACTCGTACATCTGGGTTTAAGGAGGGGCAACTTTAGGTTTCCTAGAACCTCCGTCAGAGCTATCATGACTAGATAGCTGGGTGGATTTGCCCCACCCCCACCCCCGTGGTATTGGCTTGTTTGCTCATTGTTAACTGTTCTTCATTCTTTGACTCTTTGTGGAAGGTGCAAACACAAGGGGAGACAATCTGTTGTCTTGTCCTTGAGAAATCTCATGATTCACGAAAGGATACCCGCCCAAAGCACTGTGTGGATAGGCTCTGTGGGAAAGGCTGTCTACCATGGGAAAAGAAGTCCACATGGAACACTAAAGAGGTGTTGGAGAAGTAGCAGGGGACACAGGTGGGAACAGGGATTTAGAAAGTCTCTGTTTTCATGTATTTTCCTAGGGGGAAATAATTCAAAATAAATGGGGATATTTCTTTACTTTGAATCAATTTGTTCCCCATGCACCCATCTCCAGGATCTTACTTTGTAGTCCTGGCTGGCCTAGAACTCACAGAGTTCTACCTGCCTCTGCTTCCCAAACACCACCACATCCAGCTGAGAAATCCAAATTTTTGAAACTTCAAAGCACATTCTACAACAGTGGTTCTTTACTCCCTCATGTTGTGGTGACCCCAACCATAAAATTGTTTTTGTTGCTATTTCATAACTGCAATTTGTACTGTTATGACCCACAGGTTGAGAACAGCTGTTCTACAACGTCAAAGATATTTCTTCTGTGGAATGTTACATTGGCAGAAATATCACTTGTAGCAACATATAGTCTGAGCTAATATGAAAGTATTAGTGTCAGTAGTCATATATATTGATGATTTAAAAAAAAAGTAATGAGGTTTGGATGTGATGGGTTCTGTAATCCCAGCAATGGAGGCTAAGCATAAGGAATTGTGAGTTTCAGGCCAGCATAGGAAACTCAGTGAGGCTCCATCTCAAAAATAAATAAATAGCAAGTAAATAAATAAACAAACAAACAAATAAATAAATAAAGCCTAATCTTGGGCTAATGAGGTAACTCAGTGCTAAATAAAACACAAGTCTAGCATGTGTGCGGGCCTGAGTTCAATCCTCAGTACAGGGAGAGGGGTTAACAACGCAGTTGGTTAAGAGGGATGCCTTAGGGCTCAGCAGGAGTGTTGCATAGCATCCACTAGAGTAGTAACTTTCTGAAACCCTCACATTTCTGGAAACCACAGCCCACATTTGAATTCCCACATGATTTGCATGGGATCGTGGGTCCAAAACAAAGCCTTTCCTTTCTCTTTCTGCCTCCTGATCTGAAAATTCAAGTCTTGCTTCACTTATAAAATGTTTCAGGTCTAGTCCTGAGTGCATGAAAACTCTTCATTACCTCTGTTATTTTTAGCTACTGCTCAGGCAAACTTAAAAGAAAAAATCACCCATAGATACATGGTTTTATTTGCATAAAATATGCATGCAGCTGATCACCCCTTCCATTCAGAGCATGAGTATCTTTTTCTTTTTTTTTTCACAGTGCTAAGGATTGAACCCAGACCCTCATGTATTCAAATACTTAGCTACATCCCCAGCCCTCAGCATCATTGTTTTAAGTATTTTTTTAACCCTCCCCCAAAGGCAAAACACCTCCACCATCCTGTAAGAGTTATCCCAGGAACGATTTGTTATGGGTCTGTCTTTTCTGACTCACACTGCAGTCAACTGAGACTGACAGAACCTGAGAGGTTTGTTGGCACAGTCAGATACCATATGAGATTTCAGTATCTCTCAAAAAGGATGATTCAGTGTCATGGAGTTTCCATTTATTCTTGAAAAGCATGCACCTCTCAGAAGAGTAAACCAGAGTACATGCTTAACTCACCAAACCCAGCTCAAAGTAATAGAATTAATAATAATAATATAATAAAAAAACATGGCTGACCCACACAGAAAATGAGCACTTATTTTTTCTTTGCAGTGGTGAGATGCTGGCCAGAAGGAGCTCCAGCTCCCACATAATGATTTCCAGGAGTTTGTTCATGCCAATAACGAGCATTCCCACCTATCAGGAATGAGTGCCTTGCCCTCCCTCACCGTTAGCCCCTGACAGGCTCTCAGGGTGACACAGTTGAAATATTCACCTATGGTAAACTGTGGTGGCTGCCCTTGAAAGGTAGGGCATTAACAGGGACAGTTTCTCAAATGAAAAGTGGTTCTAGCTACTGTTGGGTACCGTCAACAGACTAGAGGAAGCTGATGAAAGACTAATGGTAAATTATCCCAATTTAAGGCAGAATGTAGAAGGTAGAGAACCTTCTGCATCTAGAGAGCAGAAAGAGCTGAGAATCTGGACCCAGACAAAGTGGAGCTCCCAAGTGCCTGGATATCAACCAGACAGGCCTGCTATGCTACAGTCAGAGCACTGATTAAAGCGAAATGGGCCCTCAAGACAGAGGTGAAACATGAGTACATTCATTCAAGAACTCTGAGAACCCAGATCCCTCCCAGAATGCTCTGGGTCAAAGAAGTAGTCCATTTCTCTACTATGTGTGTGCATGCGTGTGTGTATGTTTCAGAGGTTAATGTTGGATGTGTTTCTCAATTGCCTTCTACCTTATTTTTTGAGACAGGGTCTTTCAGTGAACCTGAAGCTCACTGATTGGGCTAGACAAGCTTGCCAGCAAACCCCATGGATTCTCTCATCTCTGCCTTCCAGGTGTTTAGATTACAGGCATCCAGCTTTTTTATGTGGGTTGTATGTTTTGGGTGGAGGTGCTGGAATTCAGGTCCTCAGGCTTGAGGAGCAAGCACTTTATCAACAAGAACATTTCTCAGTTTCTCCCTTTTAAAAATTAATGTTTCCCTCTTTCTTGAGAATCTGCAAAGAATCTGCCCTGGAAGACAGTAATTATTTCTTCCTTGTCACTATTGTTTGATTAAAAAAGGTAAAGGCACTCTTGATGGGTATAGAACAGGTAGGTACTTGACTGCAAATAGGCCTGGGCTACAGTATTGTGAACTGAACTAGTTGTCAAATATACAACAGAGAGATAGGATGTCATATCATGGACCCTAAAGTGTATAAGAGCAGAAAAGACACATGGAGAATAATCAAAGTCTAAGCTGGTTAGAACAAAGGATGGGTCTTGATGAGATGGAGGAGAGGGAGAATTACAGAGAAAGAACAGAAAGTCAGGAGGAAATAATCAAAAAGGGATTGCTCTCAGTACATCAGAGGTGGTTATCTCTTGGTACTGGCAAATTCTAGGGTGAGGGGCTGAGGTACAGCAAAGGAAAAGTTCACTGGGGAGGAGATTTAGGCACTACCAAACTGCTGAGTGGATTGTCTGTCTCAACGCTGAAGGCACATAGATTGGTGAAGGAGGGAGAATAGCAGAGGAAAAGATGATAATGCAAATTGTAGACATCTAAAGTGAAGGGTAAGAGCCAGGTCAGGTTGCTGAAGCAGCAGGGAGCCCCTTTGCTTTGCAGCCCATGACTCTATGTGGGTAGTCGACAATGCCCAGGGTCAATGACACATATAGAAAGCGTTGCTAGCAGGTACCCACCACATGGTTTGCTCTTGCTGTTCCAATATAGCGCACATCATTGTAGTTTAAGATAGAACGTTCACCAACCTGCCTCAGGGTGCTCCACAGCAGCTTCAGGAGTCCAAGGTCCAGCCTTTACATAGCCCCTCTTCTCCAGAGCAAAAACAAATCCTCCATCTCCAATCACGACTTCTCCAGCATTTAAACGTTCTAGGATCCCCTGAATTTACAGACAAAGGGGAGAAAGGAGTCCAGTTTTAAAGATGAATTCTATTTTTAGTGATTTTTGTGAATATATTCTTGAGAAGTATAGTTTCTTTAGCACTCTTAGAGTGAATGAAAGTTTCCACCTTCTGCAAGGATAGTTGGCTGATTAGAGCTTCAGGGAGGTTGAAATGTTGAAAGGCCAGAACCACATTATCTTGGAGTGTGTCTGACCCTCTTATAGTCTTCCTCAGTACATGACCTAACATCTTTGTGAAGTAGGTAAGTCCTCAGGATTGTTCCAACAGACCCCTAGTTTCCAACCAACCAAAGGGCTATGAATGCTGTCAGATAGTATCTGAGGCCAATGGCAGAGCTTCTCTGCTTTGGTAACTGGACTACCTAAGGTTTCCACCAATGTATTTAAAGAATGCCTTGTCTTTGTTCTGTTACTATGAAACTTCATCAAACTGTTATAACATAGGATCATAGAAATTGGAGTGATTAGAATTTGGTTCCTGAGCCATAATCACTCAGAATAACTGCTGAATAAACTACCTCATCCCTTTGAGGTGAGAGTTGTGTTTTTGCATCAACATCAGAAAAATACATATCTATTTTATACTTTAATTTATGGTAGAGTGCTCAGCTATTGAAAATTGGTATATTCATGTGTAGGTGCTAGGTTTGAGAGTATGTGAAGAGCCTAGGTGTCTTTCAGTACATATGATAGAGTGTTTGGGTGGCAGAGCACAGTGGTAGAGCACTTGCCCAGTATGCCTGAGATTCTATCTCAAGCAGGATAAAAAAAGGCACACATTTTTCACATTTGTATATATTTTAAAATTTATAATATACTATATATAATATAATAATATATAATTATATATTATATAGTATAATATAATAATTCAGTTCACATATACAAGTGAATAATGAGCAAATTAATGCAATTAGGATTTCCCTTAATCGGTTATGATTTGGGGAGGGGGATGGGACCTTTAAATTCTTTTTTCTTTTTCTTTATAAAATAAATAATAGATTGTAGACTATAACCACTCTGATGAAGCCCATCCATTTCTTTTTTAGTAGTGCTGAAAATTTAACCCAGGATCTTGTGCATGCTAGGCAAGCACTCTGCTACTGAGATCATCAAGGGTGCATGTTCTTAAAGGACAATAGCCAGTATTCTTACTCTATCCATAACCTAGAGAGAGGATTAACACTGTTCAAGAGGTTGGGGTATGCTGTATAGTATTTTGAAGGCTGAAAAGTCACAAGACACTTGGTACAGATAGAACAGGGGAAGCCAAGTCACTTATGGGCTTCCATTTTTGGCATTTTCTGCAATGGCAGAGCTGTTATGCACCCATGAGTTTGTCCATATGTACATCCTCTACTCCACGTCAAGAACAGGAGAGACAGAGACAGGTATAGCTTTCATGAGATGATTTCCCGTCCTCTCTCCATAGCTACTCCATTTCAGTTCTGCGGAAGGTTGCTGCTGTGCTCAGGTATGAGAGATGAATTTTGAATTGTGAATTGGAAGCAGTTTTATAGATTCAAGAGTAATTTACTAGTGTAACTGTTTTTTTTCAGACTATAAGAATCATAAACTTTAAATTAAACATACCCTCTCTTCAAATTATCTCTCTCCCTGATTTTAGAAATAGGAAATTAGAGCCCAAAATATCTGAAAAATTTATCCAAGGTCCTTATGACGCCCTCATCCTTAAATGGTTTGTAGATTAGATTCCAAATAGAGGTGAGGGAGAGTGAGACAGGTCTGAAAAAAAGTAATTCTGAGGGATATGTAGGAATATGAACACCTGCTATATTCTCTTTACCAGCCACACCAGTAGATCTTTAGAAACTTGAAGAGAACATGAGCTACATAAACAGTGTGAGGAATCAGAGGGGTTTTTGCACCAAAAGTCCTCTACATCTTCACAGAGCCTCCTTCATTTTAACGCTCCTCCTTCGCAGCCCCACCCAACACTATTATGATAGAAGAGCTCAAAGAGAAAGCATTGACATCTGCATTGTAGAACTGGAAATTACATGGGATGTATGTTCCTTACTGCCTTACATTCCTTTAGGACCTAAATACTTTCAAGCCTAGAAGTCTGTGAACAACTTTAAAGACACAGAATTGTTTGTGTGTCATCTTGATATCCAAATATTCATCATGACTACAATGTGTCTAAATATTACATCTTAAATTAAAAAGTGTATAAATATAAATTAACAAATACATATATGTGATTTATATTTATATCATATAGATATATAATACAAAATATCATATATTTTATTATATTTGTCATATATAATATAAATATATATTACATGAACAGTGGTTCCATAAATAAGCTATAACCTACTTCAGGTGGAAATAGCTATTGACACTGTGGCAGTTAAAGCTCTCACTGAACGTGTTTTCAAATTTTAGTACCACAACATTTTAACATATAGCATAGTCAGGAATATGACCTTTGGAAGTAGAGGGAGGGGCAACTTAATTATCATACAAATCATGTTCAATGATTATGTCAGCATACACTAAGAGTCTACTGCAGTTTTTAATTCTCTAGACACGATACTTTTCTTTGTTACTAAGCTAAACAGTGTAATGTGCTATGAAACACTTAGGGTATTTTTTTTTGTAAAAAATTATTATAAAGGAGTATATGTAACATCAGCTTGTTCTTTTAAAACATGTATCTGCTTAGACAACTCGCAGAATGTATATCAAAATGTTGCAGGTTCTGTTCTTTTTGTTTAACAACCTTGGTTTTTGCAATGAAAAGGTGTCCTTGTAATATCTTTTAAAAGCAAATATGTAAACATTATTGCCCTTGTTTTAATATTTTCGTGAAAATAAGAACATTGAGGAAGCACCCTTATGGGACTCATTTCTTGATAATTCTGTAAAGAACACTCTGCTGTCTGTCCCCCAGTGTCACTGTTTTTTCTGTTGTGTCACTGTGTAGCCTAGGCTGGTCTTGAACTACGATCCTTTTGCCTCTCTCCTAAGTGCTGGGATTTCATCCACAGGCCATCAGACCCTGCTGGACAGTCTTCTCTAAAGTGGTGAAGTTTCTAAGACTGAGTTTGGGAAGTGGGTTAGAATCTATGGTTTTACAAATGGGGCCAGACGTGTGTGTGTGTGTGTGTGTGTGTGTGTGTGTGTGTGTGTGTCTGTGTGTGTGTGGTGTGATGAGACCTTCTTTGCAGTCTGCAAGAGACACCATTTACTAAACCTATGGACTGGCAGTAATTCAAAACTTATTTGAATCACACATCCTTCTCACACCACCCAGATGCATCTGCCTCTAGATGATTCTGGTGTTTCCAGATTTTAATAGGATTATTTTTCTTTCTTGAGTGGATGTCTTTTTGAATTGGCGGCTGCCCATTTGCAAACTGTGCACACCCAGGTGGTTTTCCAGAAAGGCATGCCTTGCTTTCATGGGATACTGAGGGTTATAGTCAGCCTGGCTCTGTCTCTCAGCCCCCTCCTGGGGTCTTCTGTGGCTGGGCTTAATATCAAAGCCAAGCTTCCTTTCCCCTACAGTCCCTAACCCAGAAGAAGATCTGATTTGGACTGAACTCCTGTGTCCAGAGTGCCACTAGGAAGCGGAAATGCTCTTCTTGTTAGGCAGTCAGGAGACCCACAGGTATTATTTTTAAGATTCTATGAACCTTCCTTGGTGTCTTACAATCACGCATTCATTTCTGAAACTGTTTTTGGTGTTCATGTGAGGCATTTTTCTGTGGTCGCTGAAACAATCTGCAGATGACACCTACCATTACTCCCCCACAGTCCTGTCCTCCTGATGGCAGCTGCCAGGGTGTCGGGTGGGAGGTGGCGCGAGCCAGGAACCGTCAAGCAGTCAGATGGGCTCCGCAGCTGCCTGCCTCCCCTGCATCATACCCTGCAAGCCGCCAGCCAGGGCCACTTCCCCCATTGCAGCCCTAGGTCTGTGAGCAGCTTCCCTGGGAGACTTACCTGGTCTTCAGGTTGCTGCACTCAGGAAGTGTTGAGAGTCTGGGGGGCTGGAGAGGCTCCCTGACATCCCAAGTGGCTGTGGGGGTGCCTTGGGACTAGAAGGTAATCATCACACAGATCCAGAGTGCAGCGTGGTTCAAAGTGGAGCCAGGAGTGCAGGGGGACAGAGGCTGTCTAGAGTGCACTATGTAGGAAAAGCCCCAGGTCAGACTAAAGTTCTAGGTGACCATTCTGACCTAAAGCTTCCAATTAGCGCCACAGACAGGCTCCAAGCACCCCCATGCGCTCTCTACCTAGCTGGTGGTGTTACTGAGAGCTCCCTGGGACTCCCTGCGGACTTACCTTCTTGGCCTTCTTGCCGGCAACTGGTGCCATCCTTCTGGTGTACTGGCGCTGAACACAGCTGAGGACAGGAAGGGAGCTGTTCCCACAAAGTCTGTGCTGCTGGGCTGCCACCGGGACTCTTTATACAGCAGCTAGGTTTCCCCAGCCTTGACCAGGTCCAACACTTGGCCTCAGTCAGGGAACACGCCCACCAGCCTTTGAATCAGGCTGGAAAGCTGCCTGCCCGAGGAGATGTCGAGATTGGTCTCCCAGATGGGTGGAAACACCTAGAAGTAAGATAAGAAGGAAAAAATACTGAGGTCGCTGCTTACTCATTTGCACGCTGCCCTTTTGACCTCCAACCTTGATCTGGGGTCAGGTAGCCATGACCCAATTATGCTGCCAGAGAAGGCCCCTAATAATTCCACTCATATATGACAAAGGTGAAGATTCAAGATCATTGCACGAGGATGTGATGCCCTGTAAAAACTTCATGCAAAGTTGATCTGCATGACCTGGCGAAAGTAACACAAACTTGGCACTTGCAGAAGCATTTGATGCCAATCCTCAGTTAGCAGGTTCGTTCCCAGTGACCTTACGGACAAACAGGCTTTGCAGTTTCTAGTACCAGTGGCTTCTAACAGGAATACCTGAACCATCTAACATGTGCACGGAAAACAGCACAGACTGGAGACCTTAACATTCCACATGAAAAGCAAAGGCGAAGCTAACCTGAGGGGACAGAAACAGCCTCATGTGCAGTGAAGTGTAGCTGTCTGTTGATGGCAGAAAGGTGACAGTTTTTAACCTGTTCGTTGTGATTTATGATATTTCCCTAAATATCTAAATATTATAATGATTTAAAAGCACAATACTGTACAACATACGAATAAATCCTTAAAGACAACAAAATGTGTAAGGGTTCAGAACCTTTTATCCAAACACAAAAGCACAGGGAGACATGCTCCACTAGAACAGTGGCCTCAATTTTACACATGCAGAAGAAATTACAGTAGCAGATAACACATTGGTTAAAGCTGAAAGTGATATATGACTATGATATACAACTGAAAGAGCTTTTTAGAAAGCCAATTTCCCTCTGATGAGTATGTAAAAACTTTAAATGGGGGAAAAAAGACAAAAGATACATTGAAAGTAATTCAAGTGACAATATTTTACTGCCCCTCCGCCCTGCCCTATTCTGCAACCATCTGTAGACCATCTGCAACCATCTGTCAGGAGTCAGCACTAATGAGGCATCTTTTGCAGGCTCCAGCTCTCCACCACTAACTCCTACTACTAACTACTAACTGCTCCTGGAGAAGCTAAGTAGGGAATGGTTTAGGTAATGTCCTCATTGGCTATAGCAGTAACAGAGAGTATTGTGAGTGCACTGTGGTCCCCAAGCACTAGAGGGCTCTATCAGGGTCCTGCCTGTCAATAAAATCAACATTCCCACCTTTACAGGTTCATGCAGACACCACAAAACAGCAGGGATTTTCAGCTAGTAGCTTTGGGCTGGAAAGTTGGCTCAGTGGTTAAGCGCACTGGCTGTTCTTCCAGAGGACTCAAGTTTGATTCCCAGCACCACGTGGCAGCTCACAACTGTCTCTAACTCCAGGTCCAGGGGATTTGATATCCTCACACAGCCATGTATGCAAGCAAAAAGGCTGATTCACAAAAAATAAAATAAACTAGTAGCTTTAATTGAAAACAAACCATGAAGTTTTAATGAATAATATAAATACACTAAAAATTAAAAAAAAAAAAAGATTGTCCAACTGCTATTCAAGTCCTTGTTCTGGAGATAACCATCTTAAAAATTATTTTTACTATTTTAAATTATGTATCTGTACATGTGTCTGTGTGTGTGCACACAAGTGCAGGTGACTGGGGAGATTGAGGCATCAGATACCCTGGAGCTAAATAAAGCTACAAGTAGTTGTGAACATCTGGATATGCAGTTATAACATCCAGATGGTGCTGAGAACCCAACCCAGGTCTTCTGAAAGAGCAGGAAGTATTCTTACCTGCTGAACCATCTCTCCTGACCCAGGAAGCAGCCATACTATCTTTCCAAGGGAATGCTATGCCAAGTTCAGAATAAGCATATAAATTCAAAATCATGTCTGAATGCAGAGCTTTTTAGTTCTTTGAATGTTTATTCACTCCTATTTCCCCCAAATGGTTTATAGGCAGCTGTTGCAATGTTTTAATCTTTCCTCAACCCCTCAGCTTGTTGTTGTAACTTTTCTTTCACCCCTTAAACTAGGTCCATTAAAACATCATCCACTTGTTATTTCCACATTAGATACTAAAATCCAGAGACTGCCAGGTGCTGCTATGCCTGGTTATCAGTGTGCCTTCTCCAGATTGTGTTTTATTCCTCAGAGCTCTGTGCCCCTACGCAGTGCTCCAGCTTCTGTGACAGATAGAAAGGAAGAACTCATAAAACTCAGCAGCCCTCTAATTCCTTGCCGCTGGTTCCAAAGAACTAAGTCCACTTAACAACCAGAGGCAGCACATTCTGTAATAAGCCGGTCTTGAGAGTATGCCTGTGTTCTTTGACTCCTATAACGAGATGAGGGAGGTCTTGTGGCTGAAGTCCTGGCCTAGTGCAAAGTGCTCAGGGTTAAAAATAAATCCCAAGGGAAAGAGGAGGGTTCGAGCTGGAAATCCACCCCCTGAGTTTCATAACCTCAAAAGAGAGGTTATTGTTCTGCCTTTAGTTTATGCTTTGCCCTACTCAGAACCTCAGAAGCACTTATTAAATGCGATTTGACAAACATGAAACTTTGTAAGTGTGGTATTTCAGATACCATGTATGGACCTTGAGGTAAACGGTACCTCCTCCTTCCTGTTCCCTAGGAAGAAAGTAGACAATATCTCACATAAATGTTAATGTCCTTTTAATCAATATGTAGATGGGAAATGTGGGCCTTTCATCTTCTGTTTGATTAGGATTTACTTTGAAATGGAATCAGAGCTGAGATGTAGCTCTGTGGTACAATGCTTGTCTTGCATGCATAAAGCTATGGATTTGACCTTTAGCATCTCTTAAACAAATGAATGACTGAATAAACAAAGCAATTAAACATGAAACTAGCTTTTCTAAGACCTTTTTTGATTTTTTTATTAAAACATGAGCCACTGAATTTTAAACTATTGAAAATACTTTGTATTTTAACACTGGGTTTAACAACATTTTGACACCTGTGTAGAGCTCTTTGAAAACCAGTGACATAGAAGGGTAGCCAATATCCATGTTTCTTTTGGCAGAGCTAATGCTTATTAAAAAGAAAGATGTGGATTCCTTTGTGCAGGGCATTTACCTTTTCCTGTGTCCTGGCTGCGCCACACCCGGTGTGATATATACATCTGATTTGTGTGCCTTCAGCTTCTGCTGAAGGGGTGTGTGTGTGTATCTGCATTCATGCCTTTGTGTATGCATGTATGTGTGCATGCACGTGTGTGTAGAAAGAGAGAAGAGTGGGGAGAGGGAGTGCCTCATTGTGCAGCCTAACCTGGCTTAGAATATTTTATATAGTCCAGGCTAGACTGAGCATCCCTGGTGCTAGTAACCCAGCTGTGAGCCACCACAGCCAACTAGAAGCAGTATTTAGCTCATTAAATGCTTGTTTCCTCAAGCAGTCCCCACACTGGTGGTTTCACTTGCCTTCTGTGTCCACAGTATCCCTATCTTCTGCTAGCTTTTGTCACCATCCCAGGATCATCAAGAAGAAAGGATAGAGGGGGCTATTTTTTTTGAAACTTCTCTCTTGCTAGCCTCACTATGCTTTCCTCACTCTGTCTTTTCTGGAGTATTTCACTCCCTCAACCTTTCTAGATAGCTATGCTTCAATAATAGTTATGCTGACACACCAAGCATCTTAAACCATAGCACATAACGACGCCTTGTGGAAAGGCTTTCGTTCTTTTGCAAGCAAGGTTGGAAGCTGGAAGTAGGTGATTTCTCCAATTTGTTTACAGTCTTGGCACAAACTTGGAGCATAGAACAGTCCTTTCTTGGATGGTCTTGGTGTTTTGGGGATAGCAAGACCATTCTACTTTTCAAGACAGGGTTTCTCTGTATAACAGCTCCCTGGCTGTCCTGAACTCACTCTGTAGACCAGGCTGGCCTCAAACTCACACTGGCCACACAAGGAAGGGGCTTTTCCATCCCCCTTACATTGATGACAATACTGAGGCACACAGAGGTTGAAGGAAAATTCTCCTGATGTTTTTTGTTTGTTTGTTTTGATTTTTTGGTTTTTTGAAACAGGGTTTCTCTGGACTCACTTTGTAGACCAGGCTGGCCTTGAACTCACAGTAATCTGTCTTATAGCACCTGGCTCATAACCATTCTTATATGTGTCTTTTAAGGGAATATTTATATACTTCTCAACAAAGGGGTGGTACTGCTTGCTATTCCTACAGTCACTGTGTTCTTGACTCTCAGGCCTGGATTTGGGTCTTTTTCCAAATTTCTGTTTGTACCTACTTTAACAAAGCTTGCAGCTACAGATTAAATAAAAAAACTGGTTTACCCACTAAATAAGATAATGATGTAAAGAACCAAGGAGGTTGAATTTCTATTACATTTATTTTTGTGCTTATTTTTCATTTATTGGTTAATAATCTACCTTAGCACCATTCTCTAGATATAAGCAAATAATAATTGTTAAATGAAAATATCCTACACCAAGCTATTAATATTTGCTGAATGACTCAAATGAAATTAGGCAGAAAATACCTGGCATGGGAATGGTTGCTTTCTCAGCAGGGTTTAGGGTACCTATTCCATGCCTAACATATTACAATTTCCCCTCTTCTCTTTCTTTTTTGAGAAATCCTCTACCCTTCCCCTTGCCCTTGACAGTGATCATTATGTTCTGGAAAAGCTCCAGGGAAGCAAAATGTCCACTTAGAAAGCTTTACCTAGCCAGCCATATTTGCTTCTGCAATATTATGAAGTCTATAGTCTTGCTTTCTGTGTAGAGTTTCCTGTGCCTGTCTTTACATGTCAGAGTGTAACAGGAAACCTAGAGACCCAACTCTGCTTTTAAAACTCACCAATGTTGGGATGTAATAGGAGCTGTGTGCTCACACCAGACTCTACAATGTT